GAAGAAGAAGAAGAAGAAGAAGAAGAAGAAGAAGAAGAGGAAGCAGAAGAAGAAGAAAAGGAAGAAGAAAAGGAAGAAGAGGAAGCAGAAGAAGAAGAAGAGGAAGAAGAAGAAGAAAATAATTTCTGCAATACAAACTCCTGTGCAATACAGCTTCTTAAACTCACTTACCTTTTCCTTTTTCAGTACCACCGACATTCGTGACGAGACCACGTGACCAAGAGCTGACCATCAACAGCAACTTCCAGCTGCGCTGTGTGGCCAGGGGAATCCCCACACCAACCATTACCTGGAGACTGAACGAGAAACCTTTGGCTGGTACGGCAGAAATACTCTTTGGGTTTTTTGTCTTGTCAATAACTTTCTCATATCCTGTATCAGCGTACAATAGTCTATAAACAAACACTTTCCACAATTTGTTATCCTGGGCTAGCCTTTTGATATTATACTTTGTCTTCACTCTTTTCTGTTCACTTTCCTGTTATTTTTCTCTAGGTTTCATGTGGCCATCTCCTTCATTTCTTACTCTGGGCGAGGATTCCAATTCAATACTTTCTTTGTCTTGTGTCTGCCAAGTTTGCTGAAAGTATATCCAATCCATTGCCACCGCCTTCTTCCGATCCTACTACATCTCTGTTCGGGCTCTGTCATAATGTTCTACTTCCTCGTTGACAACACTGTCTGTTCATTTGATCCTGAGTAGCTTTCGTAGACACTTGTCCAAGAAATCGTGAATCTTTTTGTGCAAGTCTGGGATGCTTTCCATGTCTCACATCCAACACAACAAGACTGGCTTCATATTCGAGCTAAAGACCCTAAGCTTTGTTCGGAGCGAGATATTTTTTGTCGTCCAAATCTTATTCCGAGATAATATGAAAGCAGCTTGTGCCTTTCCAAAGCGAGACTTAATTCCAGCTCCTGTTCCTCCCTCTTTGACTGACTGTAAATTGCTTCAAGTGCCCATTCATTTTATTACCATTTCTGGCTATCCGTCTGACTGGATTTTCTTACACTTTCTCAAAACTAAACATCCTTTATCGTGTCTTAGATGATTCTCTTCGCTTAGCTACACTACACCATTGATTCTGTAAGCCGTTCGAACTTCTCCTTAACACCAACATGACCGTTGTTGTTTTTTTAATGCTTCTGGTTACACCAGGGATCTCAAACAGAAATTGCCCTTTCGGCACCAAAAAGTTGGTCCTTGCTGAACTTTGTCCGCGTCAAGTATGAATGGCTTCAATGATTGGCCGAACGGTCACGAGTTACAGAACACTTATTGAAACATTGTCGCAGATTGCTATAATGTGGAGAAAAAAAAGATATAGTATTGTCTTTCTCCTCTCTCATTTGCCCTGTCAATGCCCGTGAGTAGCTCCGCCCAGTCTGAAAAGCGTGAGTACTCTGTGTATAATTATTTCTAGCTCATTCTCACAACACCAAACTACCCTTGATCGTGACTTGTTCATGTGCGACTGAGTACACATTGTCATAGATCGTTGAAAGGAGAAAAAAAAACTACAAAATGGCTTATATAAACACAGTATTAAATCTCTTCTCTCGTTCGCCTTGTCAATCACGGCGAGTAGCCCCGCCCAGTCTGAACGACCGTGGCTCTCAATATGTCTGTTGTACCCTTTACAACACCAAAACGACCATCAACGCGTTCGTGTGCTTCTATTTATTATTTTATTTACACACTGAATGGATCGTTATAACAAAACAAAACAAACAGAAATAAAAAAAAAATTGACTCTATATAATATATATGTATGTATATCTATATCAATGATATATTAATGAATGTATGTTATTTTTTTTTTTT